ATAACTAAGATCACACATATTTTACATAGATAAGTCTATTCATAATGTGTGAGCTGTACTTGAGAGTACAATTTTTATTATTATTATCATTTGTTTATGTTATGTTTCCTGCTTTGTATCCTGTACAGTTGGGTCCAAACTATGGTCCTTAGGCTCTATTGAATAATCTTCATTTAATTGATAGCACTTTTCTTAGTATATGGGATGTTACTAGTAGGAGTATGTTGATGTTACCTGGCACACTGTTAGTAAAAATGTCCATTCCATTTCTCATGAGGCCCCGAGCTTCAATTATAAACTGGGTACTATAGCCTTGGGTGGTGACCAGTCTAGGAGATGTAAAACTTTGAATTCATAACTGTATGTAGCCCTGGCAAAGCACATACTATGCAGCTAAGGAAAGAATCGTTCACATTGACTCGATGATCCTGATTATGGTCAACTCCTTTTGGACTACTTGGTTTAAGCAAATTGTTATTAATTTCGCTGTTTAAGAAAATAAGCTGATACCAACTCAAACTAAAAATAATGTTTATAGTAATAAGAAATAATATTGGATTAAAAATACATTTAAAAAATTTTCATATATATATATATATATATATATATATATATATATATATATATATATATATATATATATATATATATATATATATATATATATATATATATATATATATATATATATATATATATATATATATATATATATATATATATATATATATATATATATATATATATACAGAACCCATATGTAAATATAACAAAAACACAACCTACAGTCAACTGCAACCATTCAATAATTCTATTAACATTGATTAATTGATTTGTTTTTTATGGCCTTGTCAACCATTTGCAGGTTGTATAAAGCTAGAAAATATTTTTAGATTGTAAGAACTTTTAGGAGATAATAATGACTTACTGAGACAAGTCATATCAATTAACCCATATCTGGAGAGAGAGGAGGTGGATTCATACCTTTTTCAAGGGTATTTGTGTGTAAGTAAATATAATGAACACAATTGGAATTTGAACTCAGCTCTTCAATCTCCAATTCTGAGCCATTACACTATTAAACCAACTTACAGCACTTGGCATTCCCAAGTGGTTACCCATATAGGCTTGATGTTGCTTAACTTTGGTAGTTTTATGAGAATCCATGTTTCAATGTGATATTGCCATAAGCTAACAAAACCTTTAAAACATTAATGAGGGAAGAATGAAATGACTGGATATAACAGGAAGATGTGATAAAATCTCTAATGAATGAAACAAATTTGTGGTAAAAATAAGAAGTGATAGAGTGATTAAATCATTTAAGTGATGTGGTATCACTAACACAATGGATGGGACTGAAGATAACATTCTCTTTGATCATAATATTGGATTCAATAATGAAATGTCAGATTACTTTCCAAAATATAGTGAAAGCAATGAGGATTTTGTAGATTTTGAACAAAATTAAATAAGAGTGAACATTTATTTTTGATTTATAGTTTTTTCTTATTTTGATGTTTTGAATTTTTTGGTGTTTAGAACAATGTACAAGTTTTAAAGTAGATGATTAAATTTTTGGTTAATAAAAATATTTTTAATTATGACTATAAAATTCTTTTCTAAAACTTTGTCTTCAAAATAAATGTGCATCTTATACACCTCTATGTTTTATATTCTAAAATATTATGATAAAAGATAATTAAAATTTATCTCTTTTGAATATTGAAAAATTTTGGAATGAACCAGATGGGGCATAATCCTATTTTCTCCATTTAAAATGTTGCATTATATGATTATATAATCTGACAACTATTGCTTGCTATTTACATTATTTTATTTAAATTATTAAAAAAGTAGAGTGTAAAAATCAAATAAAATTGTTTTAAGTTCCAATTACTTGACTTGTTTGTTTAATGGAATATCAACACCTTATAGGTAATTTAATGCTGAAATTTAATTTTCTTGTGAGCTTTGAAGTAATAAAAATATTTTATATGTTATTCTGCTTTCACAATTGAATACATGGTAGATGATACTCAGCTTTTGTACATATACATGTTTGTGTGGACATAATTACTAAAGGTGATGATATGTATGTTTTATGTTATAATTTTGTTGAAGTTGTATTTTGGAATACAATTTGATTTTTTTAAGAAATTGTAGGATATTATATGGATTAATATCATGAAAGAGTTTTTTCATGTTGATTGATGTATTGTTCATAATTTTACAATAAATAGTTATGGTTGGTAAGTTTTTTATATAAAAGTGTATTGCTATAAAAATGTATTTTTATACTTTCATAGTGTTTTCCTTTTGTTTGGGGGGTTCACTATTTGATATTAGTTGGGACCCTGACAGGTGCTACCACCCCAACACAGGGCAGACCTGAGAACACCAGCAATTAAGAGGGGGTTCCACACTTTTCAAAACTTCCAATTGCCCGATCATAGGCCTTGCTGCCAGATATAGCTGATTGCTTTTGAAAAGTATGACCTTAAAACACTTCTGAACCCCTTCCTACCATATTCTTGTGTTACTAGCTCCACACAAATTGTGATGATTAGACAGAGTAAGTGTGATTCTGTGCAAATATTACTTTTAATAATTTCTTTCAGCATTAACAATGATCCCCAAAAGAGGACACACTGAAACAAATTTTAACTGAATGTACTCACTTAGCCCCTGTAAGACATAAATACTACAAACAACATGAGAAAACTATTTGAAAATACAGAAACTATCAACATAAACCTTAAAAAATAGGTTTATACTAAAATATACAACACCTACAATAAACCATTAACCAACTATATATTTATAAAACATATTTTACCCTGAAAGTTTAAAATTATGTACAAAATATCTGTAGTTGAAGGCATAAAACTGCATGCAATATATTTAGATTTCAGCATTAAATAACCCATAGAGGTGTTGATATGCCACTAAACAATAACACCAAAATCAAACCAAAAGAGTATTAAGATAAAGACCATGCAAGTGAAAGTGAAAGTGAAAGTTAAACAAAAACAGTTTTAATGCACCTCTGGATACATTATTGAAATAAGATGTCATAAAAATGAGTTTTGTTTTATCAAATTCTATCTCAGGTTTTGTTTTTAAATAATTTTTTTTCTGTTATGGCTGATTGTCTTGATTTCATAGGTTTGTTTTCACTTTTTATCTTTTTACTTTTTTTTAATATAAAAGAAATTGTTTAAAAGAATACTTCCATTGTCACCACAAAAAATAATAAAAATTCTTATGCATTTCAAATTAAATTAAAACTCATTAAAATTTGAAGTAGGCTTTTAATGACTTACCAATTTTCTGGACTGTGGATCAGAGAATACTTTTCAATATGATAACAATACTGTCTCTCCTAAACTATTTCCTGCATCAAATATATTTTATATTGCAAGTTGTACACAATTCAACACTAGCTAAGTTATCATTTGTATAATATATTAATTTTTACTTTTTGTTGTCAAATTTACAACTTTTCCAAAATAACTTATTCACTTCAACTTGTTAGTTACCTTAATAGTGAAGCATCCATTAATGCTTAGATTGGAAAAATTCTGTTTTTCAACCTCAGAAAATAATGCTCAATACCAAAATTTTAACAAAGTTTGAATACACTAATCAAAATCATTATTTAGCCACAGACAAGTTTATACTATTTTTCTACTGGAAATGGATTACAAATAATAAAATATCAATTGCAAGTACCAAAAGTGAATAGAAGAAGAGAAATATTTTTTGTCAATAATATTGTCTTTGTTGAAATTCCTGAAGAATATTTTCCCCTATAATTTGGTAAATAGACAAACAACTATAAAGTGTAAATAACACATTTTAATTCTATGTCTCTTTCAGTTAAATGTATTATTCACTTGTACTAATCCTAAATATAAATACACTATTTAAAAAGTTTGGTGGATCCAGTCCTTTTCTTTTTTTACAGTAAATGATCTATTGTTTAGTGTAAAACGTGAACAAATTCTGACAAAGAAAAGATCTTTTTAGTTATGAGTAATTTCAAACGCCAAGAGTTTAACATCAAAATAAAAATATCTTTAAGATTTAATTTTTCTAAAAACTTTGGTCTTAAGTAAACCATTTTATTGAAACTGGTAAATCTGATGCTACACATATTGTTAAAGAAAATGTCTGTTCATGTTGAAAAGTTAAGTGTCATATGTTGATGTGCTAATTTACAAAGAAACTTTTGTCAAGTGAAAAGGATGTTAACTTCCTAAAGTAGTTATAGGTACCAACAGTTCTGAGATGCTTCATAGCAACATGACAAGCATGAAACCATTGTCAATAGAACTCAAAACAAATTCCAAGCTGAGATAAACAGGAAGTCTTCAAATTATTCTGGTTTGTTTTAAACTAGTTTTGGTGTTAATACTCCACAGTCAATTCCCCACAGTTTATTTTATAGCAAAGAAAAAGAAAGATTCTTAGTGCAACCAAAGTAAATTTTTAATGTCGTTGAAAATGTCCGAATGAAATCAATACATAGGAGATTTAATTTTACTTTTTAATGTATAAAATATGTCGGAAGCGGCTCAAGTTTCTATTTATAAGGTACTAAACTACAATGAATGAAAGCAGTGTACACTTCAGAGAGAGTAACATTCTGTGTAAATGTAACTTTTACTTTCCTGTAAATTCCATAGACACACATAAGATTCATTTATTAGAAAATAACTCAAACAACAAAGAATTTTATAAACTTTTGTTGTAAATTTTAAATCACATAAAATTTATATACAAGTTTTGCTTTTTTGAAATGAAATTTAGGCAGGTAGAGGTTATTTACAAGATTCATTTTTATCCTAATTAAAAAATAGAGTAATTTAACGTATTTGTAAATTTGATAGACTAAATATATCAAATTAATTATTAATTTCTTGCACAATAGGATATTGGTTTTAATTTTCAATAAATTTACAACACAGTTAAACTGAATTCTAAGTTTGATAGCATTAGGTTACCAGTTTGTAGCAGCTTTGACCAGTTTGTTGAAGAAGGATGATTTCTTGTGTTGCAGAGAGAGAGAGATAGATAGATAGATAGATAGATAGAGAGAGAGAGAGAGAGAGAGAGAGAGAGAGAGAGAGAGAGAAAGAAAGAAATATATTTATTTGTGATAGATTATAGTGGAGATCTCATTCTAGTCTCATGAAGATTTTTTAACAGAAGATAGTGTAGTGATCATATTATATTCTTTGTAACTCATAGTTTGCTGACGATTCATAAGACCCCAGGAGTGGAAATGAGACATGTTTTCTTACTATCAAATTTTGTGGCTAAACAGAGAAAGAAGCGAATGAGGGATTTTTAACGTTTCTTGTTTTATACAAAACCAACACTAGGATGTTCAAAGAAATCCCCTGGAAGACAATGTGTAGTAATTTCACAATAGATTCTATATGACATTTAGAAACTCACACAAAGGATATTTTGATCAAAATCTATTTTGGATTTATCAAGAAGTATTCCAGAACATTTAGAGGAACTTTTTACTCTGCATTTCAGCGGACACATATAAAAAATGTGATCTCTCGCAGAGATTTGCGTTTTGCCCACTTGTGGGAGAACGCCATGAAACACACACACACACACACACACACACACACACACACACACACACACACACACACACACACATACACGTACGTACGAACATTCATCAAAACACGAACTCTTTACATTCACGCACAAACACACATGATAATGTATTTGTCCATTGTAAATTTTGTTGTTTAATACATATGCTTGTTTCTACATATATATCGGCCTTGTTTGTTTTCTTTACATTTCTTTGGTTGGACTCAACTTGAGTCCGTCATATTCTTGTAGTGGACTTTGAGCCATACACGTGTTCATAATTTACCAACACGTAAACCCACGATCTGCTACAAGGATAAGACATATCAATGGAAAAGCTCGTTATGGGAAAGAAATATGAAAGACTTGTCTAGGGAAATACGCCTGAAATGAAAGTTTTGTTTAGGATAAGACGTGTGAAACAAAAAGCTCGTAGAGGATAAAACTTATGAATATTTAGGTAATCCCTACCAAAAGTAAACCTTTTTATGAATAAGCCATGTGAAATAAAAGTCTACTTAAGGATAGGATATCTAAAATAATGCTAGTTAAAGACATATAAAAAAATCGGAAAAAAAATACAAACCTCTGCCCCTTACCAATACCTACAGGCAAATACATAATCAACCAATGTGGAATTCGGATGCAATTTTTTTTATAAGCCTTGGTTCTGAGCCTTGATTATGGCGACGCTGCTTCTGGCTCAGGGTAATACAAAAAGCAACGTTCTGAAAAAAACCTCACTCTTGGATTATTTTCCACCAATCATGAGAACGGAATTTGACACTAATTTTTATTTGTTTCTATATGAGCAATCACCATAGATAAGACGTATAACATGAAAGGATCGTTAATGGCAATGGACTTGAAAAGAAAACCTCGTTAAAGATGACATGTTTCAAACAAAAGACTCGTTAAGAATAAGATCTGTGATATGAAAAGCTCTCATGTCAAACAAAAGGCTTGTAAAGAATAGGACCTCTGAAAAGAAAGGTTCACTTGCGATAAGACATTTCAAATAAATCGTTCGTTAAATATAAAACGTCAGAAAGGAAAGGTTTGTTAGGGATAAGATGTGTGAAAAGAAAGGATCATTATGAATAACACGCTTCAAACAAAGACAAGACGCGCAAAATGAAGTAATTGTTAAGAATGGCGTTAGGAAAAATGAGCATTATTGGGGTAATATTTGTAAAACAGATAACTCATTTTTGTTAAAACTTTTGGGTGGAAAGCCTCGTAGTAAATAAGACGTATCAATGGAGATGTTCCTAAAATATATCTGTATAATACTAAAAAAACTCTAATCTTGTATGTATGAATGTGTGTTTAAGAGATACAGCTTATATAATACCCTAACCAATTTAGGAGTATGTTGTACCTTGAACTCCTGCCGTGTGCAGTGCCAAATTTCATTAAATTAAACAAACGGTCCTCAAGTTAGAGCCGTTTTTTCTGTTTTTATGGCAATTTGATTAGGAAATTCGATATTTATTTTTGATACAGATTCTTATATCAATCCGCGTATATAAACAAACACTTGCATATTACATTCCAACTATTATGGGTGTGAAATATAATAAACCCTCATAATGCATTATAACAACATTATTAAATAAATTTAATTATGCATAACACAGCAGATATTTATAACTTTCGCTACACTACATTAGAACTTTTTTTTAATAAACAACTACTTGAAAGGTGAAGAGGCTATATATGTTACATGACTTGATGGTAAATAAAAAGATGCACGCTGATTTGCTGCCGTTACGTATTTTGAAATAAATGCGAAGAAAGAATAAGAATAAAAATATACTTTATATATCATTTTAAAAAAGACTACACCTGTTTTAAGCTATGTTATAAAATAAAATGACATATCTCGGCTGATTTACAGGCAAATACTCAAGAGCGAGAACCGGATGTGAACGGGACAAAGCCCCGTCACAAAATGACCATTAACTTTCTTTACAAATGTTTCCGACACACGTGTTCCGGTCGAAAAATAAAATAATAATTAAAGTGCTCTATTTTTCGTCCAATAAAAATGCTTCCCTCCTAATTATACTCGCTTCGTTTCTCGAGCCTGTTAAGCCATTAAAAAACGCTATAAAAGGGGTCACAGGGAAGTTCAGCAGCAGTCAGCAGGGTCATTCGCTCAACTCTTGAGCGATTGTTCGGTTCAACTCTCTTCCTGCGGGCGGGAGGAGCCCGAGGGAGGCTGCGCCGAAGGGTGGAGTCTCCTTCGGGGAGGTAAAACCGGCCCAGAACCCGTTTATACGGGTTCAAATGGGCTATTTTTTGGCCGAGCCTAATGGCTCGGGATGCCCACGTTAAAAAGGCCTTGTGCCACATGACACCCTCGTGGGGGGGTGACTGAATATTGTCAACAGGTGGCCACAAAGGAGACCGGTCACGTTTAGCAGCTGTCAGCAAGAGAGCGTCAACCACTGTCGACATGTGTGAACTACTATGAGAGATCGACCTAGATCCGAAAGCCGGCTTATGAACTTTACCACACCAAGGTAGCTGTCCTAAACCCTTACGTTCCTGTTGAAATAAACCACGTAAATCTATTTCTACTGTTGTTGTATTTCTTTCTTGCAACCATACGCTTGTCTATAACAGCTATTACTCCAAATTTTCGCGCAATACCATGAAGCCCAGTAGAACATTAAACCTTCTTTAACCGTCTTTAGCATTAATTATTAATTTTGTATTCAAATTACATTTTATGGAAGATAAATGTAAAGATATAAAACATATATCTATTGATGTCGTAAAATAATTCATTTTCATACTTTAAATCAGGATATATTTGCATTAAGGCATTTTTGGTGCTTTTCATTCGTTTTCGGACCGGAAACTTTTGTACTTATTCTTAATTAATAATTAGTAAAAAAAATATACTTATTATTCTGAAAAAGTCTATACCTCTTTTAAATTATTCCTCCAAATTTCCACGCAATGTGTTAACTATGAAGCCTCATTGGAACAATAAAGCTTCTTTTACCGTTTTTAAATACAAATTAATTCAAATGTGTAATTAATAATAAAATGGATAACATTGTTAACTCATCATTTTTGTATCATGAACTGCATTTAAAAGAAACCCAGTGTGTTTATGGATGGTCTAGAGATTTATTATGGGTTAGTGAAGGATAAAGGCATAGGATAGGAAAGGCGTTGTTAAAAATAAGAAGTGTGAAACAGAAATGTTGTTAAGATACGAAGTGTATCAGAATATGACGTGTGGATGTAAAACCTTGTTAAGTATTCGAACTGAGAAAGGAAAAGATCGTAAAAGGTAAGACCTAGGAACAAAAAAGCTTGTTCATGATAAGACGTACAAAATAAAAACCACGGGCAAAACAAAGTAATGAAAACACCCGATAAAAATAAGCAGTGTGACACAAAACAGCTAGTTAACGATATGGCGTGTGAAAGAAAAGACTAGTTAAGAAGAGGACCTGAGAGAAAGGCTAATTAAAAATTAGACGTGTGAAAAGAAAAACAAGTTAAAGATAAGAAGACATACGGTAGTAAAGTCTTAGTAAGGATAACAAGCGCGAAATATGCATGTTAAAGGATAACACGTGTAAATAAAACGAAAGGTTCGTTTAACATAGGAATGTGAATAGAGAAACGTGCTGATAATAACTAGTACGAAAAAGAATCATGTTACAAAAAAGACTGTGGGTAATAAACTTCGTATAGGATCAGACGTGGGAAACAAAAGACTCTGTCTTTAAGCATAAGAATTGTGAATGGAAAATTTGGATAAATACAGTGTAACCCGGATATAAGAGAAGCCCGGGTATAAGAGAGATTTTCTCTGGTCCCAAATTAGAGCCTGTGTTGCCTAAACAAAATAGACCAAACCCGGATATAAGAGAAACCCGGATATAAGAGACTTCTTCTCCGGTCCCGACAACTCTCTTATATCCGGGTTACACTGTAGTATGAAAAAAAAGTGCGTTATGAATAGGATTGCATAAAATAAGTCGGTGGAGTTCGAATCGGGAGAGGCAGAAAGTTCTCATCATTTTACAGTTGAAATGACTCGATGTAACCGCAAGTTCTATGCTAATAGTTTCTTCTATCGCACTTCTCACCCGTGGAGCTCTCTTCCGATTTTTTGCTCCCCAGTCAACTTTGATCTTCAAAAATTTAAATGCAATGTAAATCGTTATTTTCTGTCTTCTTAATTCTTGTTCTTTTATTGTTCTCTCCTTAATAGTGTAATTTTTTTCTCATATTTACCAACACCTAGTAATTCCTTGCTTCTTAGTGGCTTTATTGCTTTGTGTAGGGTGTAAAGATTTTTTAAAAATAGCAATGACGTCCGCGTCTTTCAAAAGTAAGCTTCTGTGAGCGACCTTGCCCCGATAAATAGCTACAGAAAAAGACAGAACAGATGTGTACCATTCTCTACTTGCGTTGATGTTCGGACGTAGGGTGAGACCAACCGCCTGTCATTTTCACTAGTGTTTTAATTTCTTTTTATTTTCAGAGATAAAAAGAATATTTATTAGACTGTACTAGACTGGATTTATCCGGGTTGGCACAACCAACAACCGCTCATGCAGAGTAGGTTTGTTTTTATTTATTTTTCTTTCTATTTTTTAATAGACGATAAAGAAGGGTTCAGAAAAATAGCCAAAAAGAAAAAAGTAAAAATAAATAAATACAAAGGAAAATGAAGAAAAACCACCAAGATATAAGAGGTGTGGAGTTACCTCACTTTCCTAAAAAAAAAAAAAGCCACTAGAGGACGTACCTTAAGCCTATAAATAGGAGTATCATTCACTGCCATCGCCTTTTTTTCCTATTTCACTAAGGGATGGTAAGATGTAAGTCGAAAGAGAAAAAACGCTTTCCCCACTGGAGAATACCCACGCACGTACACACATGCACGCATGCGCTCCAGCACCTTTCTCTTCACTTTCACAACTTCACACACTCAAACAATTCAATGGTTTAAATGTTCATTGTTTTATCACACGCAACAATCTTCAATTGTCTATGTATACCTTTGTTTTGTTAATACATACAGTATAGTTTGTTTATATATAGTTTCTTACGTTTTTATTTTATTATCCGGACTCATATTCTGAGTCCGCCATATTGTTGTTGGATAAATATACCTGGAGACACGTGTTTTCCGACCTAAAACAGGTTCATCATACGTCCGCAACGAAAGAAAGAAATTAAAAAAGAAAAAATTATGGAACAAAATCACAAAAGGATGTACCAATTAGAAAAGAACAAAAAAAAAAAAAAAAAGAAGAAGAAAAGGAAAAGATTTAAAAATGCAACAAGCATGGAATATTTACTTAAAACTTGTTGATGCTCCATTGCCATCTATTTGGATGTCGATAGTCGATATGCTGGTAACATGGCTAGTTTGTTCAACTCCTTAAAGCTTACATTTTAGGGCAAACTGTTTAGCCGGCCAGATTCATCTTGATTCTTACGATTTCTCAAAACAACTTCATCACCAAAAAAGATTGGGGCAACACCGAGGGGATCTGAAGGAGAGTGGTAGTTGTACAGAAAGAGCAGGAAGACGAGGTTGAGGCAGAGAGAAACCTATTGGAACAAGGTTGTTGCAGAAACTTTTTCTTCTGCAATACCAACTTCTCCACTACCGGTGAAGACTAAAGAAGTAGCACCCAAGACATGCTATAGACCAGATTGCCGCTTCTTTGGTCGCAGAGACATTAAAAAAGAAAGAAAAAAGCAAGTCCAGCGTGACTTGTTTCATCACCCTCATATATTTCACAATCACCTGTTACATATGTGTACCTATCATGCAACCACTTCTTTGAACCTCGCTTTACCATTTTCCCTTTAGCTTACAAAATCAAAAAGACACCGCAGCCCCTCTGTCAGAAGCTCCGACGAGGAGCAACCATTCAGAAGGAGGAATATAGAAAAATGTCAAGAGAATATATCTGTCATATCGACCCATGCATACTTGGAAAAAAAAATCAACCGCAGAATTTCAAGAACTTGAGTCTTCAGAATTTTGAAATGGTCAGCGACCGTGAACAGTTACATGGATTGGCCTGGGCGTATCGGGTGATATGGAAAATGATGGAAGACGCGTTAAGTCACGATTAAAAATGACTCTCATACTGAATGATTATGAATCAGGGAAAATTCAAATATTGTGATTGAAGTAAGATCGAAGTTTATCTTGTTGTTCCGATTTGTTCGTCAAGGTTATCCGCTTCCGTTCATGTCTTTGTGTTGGAGACCTTCTTGCGCAGGTTGAGGATAAACTGAGCCCTACCTGGCGCCATCACCTCAGCCAGGCATTCTGTTTACACTCTTGTAGTACTAATACCGAAACTGTGGAGGTCAATAAAGGAGGTGATTTTTATGATATCGTGATAGGGGCCAGAATTAACCAATGTAAACTTGTTGGCTTGTGGATAGATCCGTGGAAAAGTTCTCTCCTGGTTCATTCAGTTAGGCGGATAAGCTATACAAGATATTCAATGTTTGCTTTGGTTCCGACCGTTAACTGGAGCCCTGTTGCGTCCATCCTTTCGAAGGCTGGCTAGTTTTACCATATTAATTATTTAAGGAGATAATACAAGACTGTGTAGTGAGGTCGGTTATATTGTCACTGGACGTGAAAAAAAAATGGCAATTCCTTTGCTGGGTTTCTTTTCTCTCCAACTTGGTATGTGTAGGGTGGTTTCAATATGATTCTTTTCATTTCCATGTGTGTGTGTGTTTTTTTTTTCATTAAAACTTGATAGTCTAATATTCCATAGAGTCACGTCCACATGGAATCTTTTTGCTTCAACTTGGTGGTCATGAGATAAACCAGTATGACTAGCTTCCTTTCCACGCCTTGAAGAAGAGAGAGAGAGAGAGAGAGAGAGAGAGAGAGAGAGAGAGAGAGTTCTTGAAGTTGGCGCGAATCTTGTATTCCAGTTATTTTAGGAGTGTAGTGATTGATATATGCTAACCAATCAATGTGTCTGTTTTATGTCAGTTTTGGTTGACGGTGGAAGTGTTCAACGTAACTCATGCAATTTTTAGGATTATATATCTTCCATCAGAGTTTACTTTACCATTGTCTTTTTTTAATATTATTTTTTATTTGGGCTATACTATAATTATAAATTCAGCGATAAAATCTATTAATCCCAAAGATATGGCATTTACGAAAAGCAATGTCTTGTTGGAACATCATCATTATTATTATTATTAATAATAGTAATAATAATAATAACTTTGTTTAAAATAAAATAAATAAAACCAAAATAATAAGTTCGCCCAAATTTCCTGCTTGAGAAACGGATTCTTCACGAAAATAAACGCCGAACTCTCTTTGCTATCGACCTTCAAAGACGTCAAGACGTCCATTTCCTCTTCTCGGCACCTTGCTTGTCATAAGACAAAGTGACTTTCTTCCTTTATCGCATAACATTAAAACACATATAACTAAAATACACACACACACCAGTACAATTTAACATGCTTTTAGTGTTATTTCTTTGTATGTTTTTTATTCCTGTGAATACAAGACCCTCCCTGCTGGTATCATATGAGTGACCCCACAGTCTTTAACAAAAACTAAAATGCATGAAAATCAATGGAAAAATGGCAAATAAGCTTTAGGCAAAATTCTCTAATGCAATAAGGCTAATTAGGAAAAGGAAACACCATTTTAACTAGGAAACAACATTTCAATAAATTTCTGAAAGGAAGAATAAAGTTGTTCGTAAAAAATCAAAATTTAAATTTCATAATAATAAATGCTCAATACTAATGGGGTGTGTATTTGTGAAGGTACAAAGCTTTCTTACTAAGGCAGAATGAATTTAAAGAAATTGATCTTTGATGATGATTGATAGACACCCCTTATCACAGAGAGCTCCCTAGACATTTATTTATTGATTAAAAGAGAGAAAGTAGAGACCTAATTTTGGCGTGAACTGTTGTTTAAATATTAGCTAGAGGCAGTGTCAACAGCAATGCCACATAAAAAAAACAAGGAATTTTATTTATTAGTTTTGGAATGAGTCTGGCTGATTGTTGAATAGAACACAGAAAGGATAAGACATGTGAATAGAAAGACTTTCTGAGGATAAGGTGTGCAAAACGAAAGGCATATTTCAGATAGAACTGTGAAAAAAAAATGAGAATGTAAGATGCGTAAACAGAAAGACTCTTTAAAAATAAAATGTTTAAAAAGAAAAATTAGTTAATGGTAACTTGGTAAGACAGGGGAAGAAAAGGTCCATTATGAATAGGTATGTGAAAAATAAGCCTTACAGCAAAATGAAATGACTGATAAGGATAAGACATATGAAAAGGAAGATTCGGTAAAGATAAGAACTGTGAAAATAAAGTTTGAAAGATGTGTAAGATGAAAATCACTCTAAGGATACCTGGAAAAGCATGTTAAAGATAAGACGTGATTGGAAAGACTCTTTGAAGGATGACATGGGTGAAAGGAAATATTTCAAAGATAGGACACTAAAAAATAAAATAAATTAAGAACTCATCAAGACATTTAAGTCAAAAGACTACTTAAGAATAAGATGGAAAGTTTCAATGAGAATGAATAAGGAAAATTCATTTTGGATAAGGCATTTGAAAGTAAAAAGACGTTAAGAAATTTAAAAAAGAAGGATCATTAAGGAGAAAACTTTTGAAAATGAAAACTCATTAAGGATAAACATGTAAAAAAAAGAAAGGCTTTTTAATGATAATACATATAAGACAAATATGTATTAGGGCTGACCTTTGCCTGGAAAAGCTCATTATGAATAAGATCCTTGAAACGGAAATTTTTTTAAGAAAAGGAGTGTGAAAAATAAATTTCATAGTGGAAACGACTTGAAAAATGAAATGTACATTAAAAAACCTGTGAGGAAATGTGTTTAAGTTAATCAAAGGATTGGAAAGACAAGATTTTTGCACTTACAAAGGTATTGCTTGATCTCTTTTAACATCTCAAAAGACTTATGAAAACTTGCAGACTAATGGTAATAAAGTCTCTGGAATAAATAGTGAAAGAGTTTAGCCTAGTAGGTATACCAGTTTACCTCAGTCTAGGTTCAGTTGTCATCCAGCTACAGCAAAAAAGTTTAACCCTTTGAATATTGGTTGCTGAATATCTTGATGTTTCTAGATTCTGAAGCCAGTAGAACACAACCTGAACGAAGCTCAGCATTTGTAGCAAAAGAGCTACAGTGATACAATGTCAATGTAATGGCCTTGTTTGAAACAAGACTATTTGGAGGGAGAAAGGTACTTCACAGAATAATATGGTAGCTACATCTTTTATTGGAGTAAAAAAGCAGAAGGGTGTAAGAGGAAAACTGATGTAATGCTTGTAGTGAAGAATTCCATAGTGCCTAAGATGGGAGAATTCCATGTAGATTTAGTGATCACCTAATATCAATAAGACTGTAACAACATATTTATTATTTTAGTGAGTGCCTACACTCCAACTAGATGTACTGAAGATGAAAAAATTGTGTTTTATCTCTCACTAAATGAGCATGTCCACAAGATCCCTCATACTGATAAATTTTTCATACTTGATTACTTCAATGTTTGTGTTGACAAGTATTAGAGAATACAGGATGCAAGTGAAAAGCATGGAGTTAAAAAGTGCAGGAAGCTAAATGGACTGACCATTGTCTTGTTCAATCAAAAGTATTTCTTATAAAACTGAGAGTAAGAACTAAGTGTGTAACCATTTTGAAGGAATAGAATATGGCTCATCTGAAAGAGTATGTTATTAAGGAGGAGCTAATGAAGAGAATAGATAACATTCAATGCAATGATTCTTGGGAAGAGTTCAAATCATCTGTTTATGGCATCTCCAATGATGTTCTATGTTTAGGTGAAAGAAAACATCAATACTTTTTTGATGAAAATGATGAAGAACTTCAGATGCTATTGAATGAAAATAATCTAGCACTACCCAGAGTGCTTAGAGGAGGACCAGAAATGAGTAAGAATGAAACCTTGTACAAGGAGGTGAAGTAAAATGTTCAGTATAGATTCAATCTGCATCCGAATTTAACAATACAAAATTTCTGCATAGCTTGTTATGAGTAGTTTATGGGCCAACTTCCTCTCTGGAAACTCCTTTACTAACTCAGAATGGCAAAGAGTTACTCAGAGTTCCAAATGACATTCTTGTCAGATGGCGAGAATATATCGGGGTGTATGCGCTCAGGCTCCCCAATTTAGCAAAATGTATTGTGGACAGATGAACGTTTTGGTAGTAAGAGGAGCCTGGAGAAAAGACTGAAAAATAAAAGTGACTACAAAATAGTTATTGAAATTTTATCTTTTACTTAACAAAAGTATCTCATTTTAAGGTGGGTTTTTAAAGAAATGAAAAGTGGTCTCAAACATTTTTGCCTGTAATATATATATATATATATATATATATATATATATATATATATATATATATATATAAATTGTCTGTTTCAGTGCCTGAAAAAATGAATTATATTATTCTAAATAAAATTGTATCTATACTGATAATTTTACATCTCACTGTATATGTTAAGTTTTTGCAAAGAGATTTTTTCATCAGATTATTGAAAGTTGTTCAGGTGTTGTGTAGTCAGGAATGTATAAATAAGCATATAGATAAAACCCATAGGTAGAAGATTAATTAATGACACCCTTTTGTTCTAGCAGTACAAATAATCATGTTAACCCAGATCAGTTATTATACATCTAATGAAAAGCCAACTTACAAAGAAAGGAAAAAATAAATTATGCAGCAAACTGTATAATTACACCATGAGAAGAATAGTCCAAAATAATGTTTACAGTCAATAAATATACAACTAAAAACAAAAATGCTTCAAAGCTTCAAGGATGAATATGATAGTTGATTGATTTGCAATTCATTCAGGTCCAGCTTGGGGCTACACCTAAAATTTAGTCATCAACACAACTGAAATTTTATAATACTTGGGATAAGTCATTAATTTGGATGTCAAAAGATTAGTATTAAAATGAAAATATTATATTTCATATAATTATGATATATATTATATTTCACTAGCAGGCTGTGCCCGCTTGCTATCGCTTCCCAAAGTAAGATATATTCACTACTTGAAATCTTTGAAACAAAAATTTTAAATGAACATATTATTCATAAATTGGCTTATTACAGTTAAGGAAAGTTTTACAAATAGATGCCAACTTGTTGGAGGCAAAGTAAAATGCAAATTTCAAACACTTTTCTGCACTATACAAGACAATATTCCAAAACATAACTATTTTTGATGTGAAAATCAAAACAAACCTTGAATAAAAGAATAGTAATGAAGGACAGTAAATTAATGAATTAAACATTTTTTCAAACAATTTGCAAATTAGTTAAACCATGAAGAGTGATATTGCCTAGAGGTAGATAATATATAATGCAGACATTGAGCATTTGGTGCGTACCTTACTCTTTTTGAGTAAGTACACATCTATTTATCATCTCTCAGTTGTGTCTCTGTCCTTGGAGGCCAGTGTAACTGACAGTTGCGGGGGCTCAGGGAATTTTGTTCCTTGCCGGGTTGTACGCACTCAGGCTCCCCACATTAAACCGACCTTGTGTCACAACCTGACCTCGTTGGGTGTTGAGTAAATTTCTACTGTTTTTGAGTAGTTACACATCTACTTATCATCTCTCAGTTGTGTCTCTGTCTTTGGGCAGAGTGCACTCAGGGGCTTCTCTGTCAAAGGACAGAGAGGCAACTGAGAAAATTATACTGAGAGGTGCCCAGCACTGGGGAACAGCTGCCCGAGGCCATGCCCTCCCATTGCACCAGAGGGAGGGATTCGTGCTTGCACCGATGCTAGCGCTATCAACGGTTGTCGGGGCTAAGGGGAATTTTTGTTCCTGTCACAGGTGTACGTGCTCGGGTCCCCACCTAAAAATAGACCTTGTGTCATATCTCATCCTAGTGGGGGGGGGGCAGAATAAATACTTACTCTTTTTGAGTAGGTTCACGTCTATTTATCATCTCTCAGTTGTGTCTCTGCCCTTGGACAGAGTGCACTCAGGGGCATCTCTATCAAAGGACACAGGGGCAACTGAGAAAATTATACTGAAGAGGTGCCCAGCCCTGGGGAACAGCTGCCCGAGGCCGCTCTCTCCCATTGCACCAGAGGGAGAGATTGGTGCTCAGCCTGAGGCCAGTACAGCCGACGGCTTCGGGGACTGAGGGGAATTTTTGTTCATATTTTGGGTGTACGCTCTTGGGTCCCCACCTAAAAATAGTTCTTGTGTCACATCTTGTCCAAGTGGGGGGACAGAGAAAATACTATGTGTACCTTACTCTTTTTGAGTAATTTGTACATGTTTATTTATCATCTCTCAGTTGCAACTCTGTCCTTGACAGAGTGCACTCAGGGGCTTCTCTGTTAAAGGACAGAGGGGCAACTGGAAAATAATAATGAAGAGGTGCCCAAGCTCTGTGCAACAGCTGACTGAGGCAGCACCATCCCATTGCACGAGAGGGAGGGATCGATGCTTGCACCGAGGCATGCGCAACTGATGGTTGTGGGGGCTGTGAGGAATTTTTTTTCACTGTCCTCAGCATACGCGCTCAGGTCCCCACCTAAAAATAAACCTTGTGCCTCATCTCATCCTGGTGGAGGGACAGAGTAAATACCATGTGTAAATTACTCTTTGGAGTAATTTCACATCTACTTATCATCTCTCAGTTGTGTCTCTGTCTTTGGGCACAGTGTGCTCAGGGGCAACTCTGTCAAAGGACAAAGTCACAAATAAGGAAAATTATAATGAGAGGTGCTGGCCCTGGGGAACAGCTGCCCAAGACAGTGCACTCCTATTGTAATAGAGGGAGGGATCGGTGCTTGCACCGAGGCCAGCGCAACGGATGGTTGCAGAGGCTCGTGGAATTTTTTGTTCCTTGCCCAGGTATATGCGCTCAGGTCCTCACCAAAAAATAGACCTTGTGTCACATCTCGTCCTAGTGGGGAGACAGAGTAAATACCGTGTGTAAATTACTCGTTTGAGTAGTTTCTAACACATTACAAATCATCTTTCAATTGGGTTTCTGTCTTTGGGCAGAGTGCACTCAGGTGCAGCTCCATCAAAGGACAGAGTCACAAATGAGGAAAATTATACTGAGAGGTGCCTGCCCTAAGGGAACAGCTGCCAGAGGCTGTGTCTTCTCATTACACTAGAGAGAAGAATCAGTGTATGCATCGAGACCAGCACAGCCGATGGTTACGGGGCTGAGGGAAATTTTTGTCCCTGTCCCAGGCGTACGTGCTTGGGTTCCCACCTAAAAATAGACCTTGTGGTGGGGAGTAAATACAAATTAATCTTTGGAATGATTTGTAACATGTTTATTTATCATCTCTCAGTTACGTCTCTGTTCTTTGGGCAGAGTGCACTCAGGGTCTACTCTGTCAAAGGACAGATTTGCAACTGAGCCCTGGAGAACAGCTGCCTGAGGCTACACCCCTGAGAGAGGGATCAATGCTTGCACTGAGGCCAGCACAACCTACGGTTGTGGGGGCTGTGGGCAATTTTGTTCCTTGCTCAGGTGTTTATGCTCGGGTCCCCACCTTAAAAAAGACCTTTCGTCACATCTCGCCTCAGTGGGGAGATAGAGTAAATACCATCTGTAAATTACTCTTTCGAGTAGTTTCTAACACATTACTTATCATCTCTTAGTTACGTCTCTGTGTTTGGGCAGACTGTGCTCAGAGAACAGAGTAGCAACTGAGAAAATCAAACTGAGAGGTGCTCAGCCCTG